TCATCACCAGTTGCAAACAGATAATAGGGCAAGGTTTTTTTGTTTTTCTAGGTTTAAAGAGGTGAAATATGCAAACTTGTGTATCCCTAATTAAGAGAGTGTATTTGCAAGTGCTTAAATGCAGGAGCCTTGTTATCATCATCGACCAGCACAATGATAATATTGTACATATAGATACATATACATATCCCAAGATAGAAAATGAAATTTCCAATCCATGGGAAATTCTACTAATGTTGTTACCTGGTGCTGCATAACCAATGGTGCCTTTTATGCCTATGGTGCTGCTTTGCTCCGAAGACAATTGTTGTGGAGCTTCTGAGAGAAACTTTGCTAATCCAAAGTCACCAACGTGAGCAGTCATGTCACCACCCAGAAGGACATTGCTTGGCTTCAGATCACAGTGAGCCACTGGCATTTGGCAATGGTGGTGCAAATAATCAAGTGCACTAGCCACATCAATTGCAATGTTTAACCTCTGAATGAGGTTCAAGCTTCTCGGCTCATGGTCCTTGTCTGAGATATGAACTGCATACAACCATTCTTCTAGACTCCCATTCACCATGAACTCGTAGACTATCGCTTTGAAATCATTTCCTTGAAAATCAATACTAGAACATGCAGTTAATACTTTCACCAGATTTCGATGCCTGATGTTTGTCAAGGCTGCACATTCTGCCATGAAACTTTTAGAAGCTCCACTGTGTAGAAGGTTGAGTACTTTCACTGCCACAACGAGTTCCATCTGGTGTGAGACATCCTTTGTAAACAGACCCGAAACTACCCTCACCGATTAAATTGGATGAGGAGAACCTGTCAGTTGCTTGAAAGAGCTCTTCATATGTTATTCTCCGACACGAGATTTCCCATGAGGGTCCAGAAGCTGGCCTATTTTTTCCTTTTCTCGAGAGATAGAAAAGCACAGAAGAAATAATCAAAACTACTCCAACAAAGCCACAAGGAATTGCAATTTTCAGTATCAGATTGGTAAAAGATTTCGGCTTTGTTGACTCATTGGACGTGCATCTGGACAGGTTTAGCAGAGGTATTCCTCCACAGAGCTTCTTGTTTCCCCAAATTGAAATTGCGCTCACATTTGAAAACACTCCTTGCACCGGCACTTCACTTTCAAGGTCATTAGATGACAGATCCAAACTTAACAACTTCAAGTCTCCCAAAAACTTTGGAATTTGGCCAGTCAAATTGTTGTAAGAGACATTAAGATATTGAAGTGCCTTCAAAGAACTCAAAGATTCAGGAATAGGCCCTTGGAAAAAGTTCCCCTCCAAATACAAACCTTCCAAACTCGTGCAACTGCCAAGACTTTTAGGAATTTCACCTGATAGCCTGTTATATGAAACATTTAGATATCCAACATGCTCCAACTTATTCACTTCCATGGGAAAGGAACCTAACAACTGGTTTTCAGACAGGTCAAAATAAATCAATGAGGATGAAATCCCAAATACTTCTTTCAATATGGGACCACTCAGATTGTTTTGATGAAGATCCAAGAACAATAAGTTCCGGCAATATCCAAGACTTGATGGGATGCTTCCTTGTAAGTTATTTTCAAATAAAAAAAGTTTGATCAAAGAAGTTATATTGCCTAGAGAAGTTGGGATACTCCCTGAGATTTTATTTTGACTAAGATGCAGACCTACTAAATGTCGTAATGTACAAAGAGAGCTTGGTATAATGCCAGTCAATTGATTTGTCTCCAAACCTAAAACCTCCAAGCTGATGAGATTTCCAATATCAGTAGGAATGCTCCCACGTATTTGGTTTCTTGCGAATGTCATTGTTCTAAGCTTTGTTGAAAAGTTGCTAACTATTTCAGGCAGCACACCTCCAAACTTGTTATCATTTGTACCCAAAATTTCCAACCTGGTGTTGTTGGCTAGGGAATAGAGAAAATTAAGGTCATCATCCTCACCATTTCCAAGATAATTGTAATTTACAAGCAGTCCTCGTAGATTAGGCAGGCTTGCTAAAGGAGGCACTTTTCCAGTGAAGTTGTTATATGAGAGTTGAAGCGCAGAAAGATTTGAGGCATTGGAGATCGTGACTGGAATTGGTCCACTAAATCGATTGGTGTGAAATTGGAGAATTTCTAGACTTGGAAGAGTTAGGCCTAGGTCAAGAGGAAGACTGCCATGAAGTTGGTTAACTGCCACTGAGAAGATTGTAAGAGAAGAGAGATTGTACATGGAGGGAGGGATTGTACCACTCAGATTATTCGCAGCAAGAGCAAAGTGTTTTAGTTTTTTCAATTGCCCAATACTATAAGGAATACTTCCCTGCAATACATTCCATGTTCCAAAAAGTCTCTCAATGGATGATAAATTTCCAAAAGAAGGTGGTATCTCACTAACTAGATCGTTCCTTTCAAAACCAAATACCTGCAGCTTCGATAATGATCCAAGTTCTGCCGGAAGTTTACCAGTAAGCTTATTACCTGCTAAATGAAGGGTCAAGAGATTAGAGCATCGTGAGATGTTGACAGGGATTTCTCCACTGAACGTGTTGTTCCAGAGGAGCAAATTCTGTAGCCGAGACAAACGACCAAGCTCCTGTGGGATATTGCGGCTGAAGCTGTTGTTATCCAGATTTAGTATCCTGAGAAAACTCAAGTTGCCAATGTGAGGAGATAGCCTGCCTGCCAGTTGGGAAGCGTTCAGGTCAATCTCCTCGACTCTCTGATGCCGCTTTCCACAAGAAACTCCTGACCACTCACAGAAGTGCAAGGACTCATTCCAGGAGCTCAGCGTGCCAAGGGGATCGTTAGTAATTTGATCCTTAAAAGCTAGCAGGGACAGTCTATCTGTCTCATTTCCTCCTGTAAGTAACGAAAAGGAAAAGGAGAACTGAATAATTTGCAAGAAAAGCAGCCCCAGTATGCATGACCACATTCCTGGAAGCTCCATTTTTTTTCATGTGATCTTAGAGCTTTATTATTGAACGTATGGTTGGCAACACTACGCTATTGATACACATATAGAGGCAAATGCTCCTTCTATCTTTCTAGAAATTAATTTAAAGTCAATGCAAACTTTTAAACAGTATCCCTGTACATTTTGATTACGACAGGACTGAATCTTGAAACCAAAAAATACTTTCCTAGCAAGAAAAATGAAGACAATCATGCCTGGTAGGTCCATTTTAGACAAGAATTTGATAATAATACACAAGAAACAGTAAATGGTCATCTAAAAAGTTGACACGCAAGAATTTTAACGTCATAATCAAAGTCACAACGTAAATGTCAAGCTATTACTGCTATAATTCAAAGCCGCCATGTTTAGTCTTCGCAATCGTGAGGTTAGTTGCACAAGGAGAAATATCTAAAACAAAAATTTCCAAAGTTGAAATCATTGCAAGATTTAGCTGAAGAGACAACCACCGCATTGTGGGTTTGGACCTGCCCAGTTGAAATATTTCTTTGACGAATTTCATCGAACAGGCTTTGAGCATTACTCGATTACCAACATCAATCAACGCAGGTGATAAAAAGAGACCCAATTTAAAGCCAAAGGCAAGGTTTTTTTTTTTTTTTTTTCCATTAGGCAAGGAAATGTAGAAATGTTCAGTTTTGAGTGAGATTTTGAATTGAAGATAAGAGAGCTACGAAAATTTCTATGTTCAATAGAGAAAATTGAAGATTAAGAAGCCCGTCTAGCTCAGTCGGTAGAGCGCAAGGCTCTTAACCTTGTGGTCGTGGGTTCGAGCCCCACGGTGGGCGATGATTTTGAAATGCTGGCGTATGGATGGAGCCAACTTTTTTTACTCTTTATTTTCTTATACAGTTCTTTGGGTATTTAAGTCTTTTGTTGCGATATTATACGTATAATAAAAGGAAAATGCAAGAAAAGATGATGAGTTATAAGAATCATCATACGAAAATTTAAAAGATTATAGAATAGAATAAAAAAGTCAAAGTTCATGTGTTTATAAGAATCTCAAATGGTCAATGAGATAGTTAAAGAGGTTTCTTACTTTTTTTTTTTTTTTTTAATTTTGAGACTAAAATTATTTTTAAAAAATTTAATTTAGATTGACATGTAAACTGGTCCAAAAATACTCTAATTGTGTAAAAAAAATATTTTCTAGCAAAATACAATTTACTCCTAGGAGATTTGCAGGTTAGATATGTATAAGTCTCATTAATTATTTTGAATTTATGGAATTCGAAGTTCACCGATTCAATTATTGCCGGCCACATTAATTCTTTTGTTATGTTTGTTTTGAACTCTTTCCAGAATATACCTACGTGGAGGTAATGTTACCCTTAATATTTTGGAAATAAGATTTCATAGATAGAGTGATTTTGCACCATTTGGCGGTTGGTAATTTTTGTTCTTTTGATTTGCACAAGATTGAGAGCCACAAAGTCACTTTCAAGTTACCATTTTCTGACCTAATCAACATTAAGAAGAAATTCAGAATGCGTTTGTTTTATGTTAAATCTTCTATTTGCAATTGCAATTGCAATTGGGTCTTTGTTTGTTGTCTTTGTGTAGCTTGTAGCCTTTTAAAATGGGCAAAGACCTTATTCGATAATGTATGCTGGTTTTGACAAATATCTATTTCTTTGCGTTTTATAATTACTCCATGTCTTAGTCTATCTCAATCAATGACTTTAGTGAATGTGGCCCTCCCCGAAACTCTCCAATCTTATCCTTTCGGTTTCACCTCACCTAATTTAAAACAGCTACAACTTCAGTAATTTATTTATTAATGTAACTGAAAGATATTTTCCAAAAAAAAAAAAAAATCAACTATCAAATTTATAAAATCCAATGATGGAACAAATTCATTCATTTTTTATTTTTTTATACTAAACAAACTTATTCAATTTGATCCCCCCAAAAAAAAAAACTCAATTCAATAAATGATATTATTACGTGGGAGGAAATTGTTAAGAAAATGTATTAAAAAAATAACACTACTCGACTAAACTCTTGATCCTTTGTTTATGGCGCGACCTGTGAAAATATATTTTACAGCCTCTCCTCCGTTGTAAAAGCCCATCTTTTGTCAGCCTTTAAAGCCTCTATGTCGTTGGAGCGCTTACCTAGCCAGTCGTCTCTAAGTTCTCTCTCGTACGAAGAACTAATAGAAAATACGAGAGGCATCAGCACTTGTTTCCTCAGCTTCTTGCTTAAGTATTGGATCCAACACATCTGCCACGCAGTTTGGCAAAGCCATTTTAGCAAAGCTGTGAAGGCGCAGCCCATCTCTTTCTCTCTCTTTTTTTTTTTTTTTCAAGGTATCCTAAATTTTAAAACCTAGGTTATTTGATCGTTTTTGTGTGGGACACACAAAGCAAGAACATCTATTCAAAAAAATTTTTTTATATACAAAATTTCAAACTGGAAACAACTTATTTAAGTAACTAAAAAACAATTCTCGTGATGGCTCAGGCCATCTTTAAACATGCTATCTGTAGGTTTTTTCCTTAAAACATCCTCAGCAACAGGACTCCATAGCTGTACACATCCCCATGCACCCATACCATATTCTGCAGTTAACTATAGGAACAGAAAATCTGTGATAGTTCAGAAGTTCTCTTTCTCTCTCCACAATTTTTTCGACAAGAATATCTAAACCCTAGATTCGAGAGAAATTTGTTCGTTGTTGTTTTAGAGAATAAATTATAAATGCGATAATTATATTATAAGTATATCAAATTTTAATTTTTCTCAATTGAGTATAGAAATTTTTTTTTGAGCATATTAATTTTTTTAATATTATCAATCAAATATTTTTATCAATTTTTTCGTTAACCGATGACATGTCTAATACCTTCAAAATACCAAATTATAATTTTACTTTTTTTCTCAATCGAGTACATGAACTTTATTTTATTTTATTTTTATTTAGGTACATCAACTTTTTCAAAACTATTAATCAAGTATTTCCATCATCTTTTTTCATTAATTGATGACATATTCGAATATGAAATTATAATTTTACTCTCTTTTTGTTGAAAGAAACTTTCTTTTCAAATTATTTTACTATTTTATAGTTTGAAAAATAATTAAAAAAATTATTTTTTATTTTTAAAATTCCAAACTAAACTCAATTAGGTTGCTCGTTAAAAAAAAAAAACTCGAGTTAGGTTTAAAAGTGAAAATTAAAAAAATATATATAAATGAATCTTCTAGATAAAAAATCTCACATTTGTATTTTCTTCAATTTTCATACCAAAAAACTAACTGATTTTTTTTTTTTTAATAGCAACCTTAATAAGTTTAGTTCGAAATTTTATAACTTAAAATATTTTTTTGTATTTTTTTTCAAATTTTAAAATCATAGAATAATTTAAGGAGAAAGTTTTTTACAAAAAAAAAAAAAAAGATGAAGAAAATATAATTTGGTATTTGAACACGTCATTAATTAATGAAGAAATTAACAAAAGTACTTGATTGACGAGTTTTAAAAAAATTGGTATACTCAATCTAAAAAAATTAAAATTCATATACTCTATTAAGAAAAAAGAGCGAACTTGTAATTTAGTATTTTGAGAATAATAAACATGTTATCGAGTTAACGGAAAAAATGACGAAAATACTTGATTGATAATTTTAAAAAATTGATATAATCAAATAAAAAAAATTAAAATTTATATACTTGATTGAAAAAAAGTTGAAAGTTGATATACTTATATTATAATTATCCCAATTATAAATTAATTCTTCTATTTTTTTGCAAAATAAATTAAATAGTTATTTTTGTTTCAATAACTAATCAATGTTTGGATTTTTTTACCAGTACGTGGACTGTGGTTTCACATGGATGATATCATATCCTTTATTATAAATTTTCTGTGCTGCTGTGTACGGTGGATAGTATCATCATATTTCCAGGCACACCCACTTCATCACAGTTTGAAAGCTCAGAGGAAAGCAGATTTTTTATTGCATGCCATTGCAAAACAAGCTCACACATCTATAGATGGCACAAACATATATTTTATTGTGGATTTATATTATAAATTCCCACTTCTACTGATTTCTAAGCATAGTAAAACATAACGATAAAGACATAATCATAGACAACAATGTGCGTTTACTGCCATCTTCGATGTTGCCACTTGCACTCTTTTGGAACAGAAGCACTCATTTGCTGCCTCTCATCACGTATCAAATGATCACCTGCAATACATAACAAAAAATGAACCTATTGTCAAATAGAAGTAACCAATCCTGAAAACACAAGCCTAACTCTCAGAACAATGAGTAGACAAAACTGTAACTTAATTTGCCTCCTCAAGTCATCTTTAATTGAATGTAGAGCGTACCTTCTGATGCGAATATTATTTCATGTCGTCCATGCATCCCAAGTTTCGATAAGAATGTCCCTAGTTTGATGTAAATCAGTTACAACCTCGCTAATATTCATCCTCTCTCTTGGGGATTCTACAGAACAAGCGATCCCCAACTTGATAATGGAAAAACAACACTCCAAAATTTTGTCAGTCCCTCTATTGCTCGTCTTAAGAGAGGCATCAGCACCTGTTTCCTCAGCTTCTCTCAGAAGCATTGGATCCAACACCTCTGCCACACTCTTTGGCAAAGCCAATTTAGCAAAGTTGTGAAGGTTCAACCCATTGTTGAACATGCAATCTGTAGGCCTCTTTCCTGTGAGCATCTCTAACAACAGGATGCCATAGCTGTACACATCACCATAAGTCGAGACCTCACTTCCCATACCATATTCTGCAGTTCATTTACATGGTGAAAACACAGTTACTTATGGCTTTGGAGAGTAGTATTAATAACAAAAATGGAAAAACCTTTTAAAGTTCAGAATTCATCATCTGCGGCAAACATACAATATGGACTTTGGTGATTTACTAACAAAGCAAATTAGGAGACTGAATGTGCGAAGTTGTGTATTTCTTTCGCTGGGTATATTTGTGGTGATGTACTTGTTAGTGCTTCAACATAGAGAAGCTTTGTTTATTCATTGACCCAGATGCAAATGGTAAAAAGAAAATGGAATGTTACCTGGAGCTGCATAGCCGATGGTTCCTTTCAAGCCAACAGAGCTGGTCTGGTTTGATGATAATTGAGCAGAAGCTTCTGGCTTGAACCTTGCTAATCCAAAGTCTCCAACACGGGCAGTCATGTCACCGTCCAGAAGAATATTGCTAGGCTTCAAATCACAGTGAACAACGGGCGCTTCACACTGGTGGTGCAAATAATCCAGCGCACTAGCCACATCAATTGCAATGCCCAACCTCTGAATGAGATTCAACTTTCTGGGCTGGTGTGCCTCATCTGATGTACGAACCGGATGCAGCCACTCTTCTAGACTGCCATTGACCATTAACTCATAAACTAGAGCCTTAAAATCATTACCTTGAAAATCGATGCTAGAACAGACGGTTAGAACTTTGACAAGATTTCGGTGCTTGATGTTTATCAAGGCTACACATTCAGACATGAAACTTTTGGAAGCACCTTTACATATCAGGTTGAATACTTTAACTGCAACAGCTGCTCCGTCGGATGAGAGAATTCCTTTGTACACAGACCCAAAACTACCGGCACCAATTAAATTGGCCGAAGAGAACCCATTGGTTGCTTGAAAGAGTTCTTCGTAGGCTACCCTCCGAAAAAAGATCATCCTTGAAGACCCAAAAGCTGGCCTATTCTTTGTTTTACTCAAGGAATAGAAAATTAAACAAGAGATCATCAACGCTACTCCAACAAAGCCGCAAGGAATAGCAATTAGCAATATCAGCTTGGTAGAAGATTTCGGCTTTGTTGATTGAGTGGATGTGCATCTGGACAGATTCAGATGAGCTATTCCTCCACAAAGCTTCTTGTTTCCCAAAATGGACAATGCACTTGCATTGGCAAAGACTCCTCCCATAGGCACATCACCTTCTAGGTCATTGAATGATAGATCCAAATTCTTCAACAACTTAAACTCTGCCAAGAACATGGGAATTTGGCCACTCAAGTTGTTGTAAGAGAGATTAAGAAATTGAAGTGCTTTCAAGGAACTCAAGGACTCGGGAATGGGCCCTCGAAAAAAATTTCCCCCAAGATTCAAATGTTCCAAACTTTGGCAGCTGGCAAGGCTTCTGGGAATTTCACCCGATAACATGTTTCGAGAAACATCCAGATATCCAAGATTCACCAACTTACCCACATCTGGAGGAAGGGAACCTGTCAACTGGTTTTCAGATAGGACTAAATACAATGATAAGGATGAAACAGAAAGTAATTCCTTTGGTATGGAACCGCTCAAATTGTTTCCATAAAGAAGCAAAAACAACAAGTTCCGGCAATTTCCAAGACTAGATGGTATGCTTCCCTGCAAATTATTTCTTGCTATATGAACATTGACCAACGAGGTAATATTCCCAAGAGAAGATGGAATACTTCCAGTGATTTTGTTCTTGTTAAGATACAGACCAGCTAAATTTGGTAACTTACCGATAGAACTTGGTATATGGCCAGTCAATTGATTCCCATCCAAACCCAAATCATTTAGACTTAATAGATTTCCAATATCAACTGGAATTCTTCCACGTATTTGATTTGCTCCAAATGTCATTATTCTGAGCTGTTTTGAGAAGTTGCTTACTATTTCAGGTAGCAACCCACCAAAATTGTTATCATTTATAATCACAGCTTCCAAACTGGTGCTGTTTGCAAGGGGATAGGGAAGCTTAGGTCATCACCCTCATCATTTCCGAGGTTATTGAGTTGAAATGAAAACCACCAGAGAGAAGGCATGCTTGCTAAAATGGGTACTTTCCCACTGAAGCTGTTGTTTGAAAGCTCAAGGACACTCATTTCTGAAGCATTGAAGAGTGATGCTGGAAGTGGTCCACTAAATAAATTTCCCCCAACATTGATGCCTTTCAGGTTTGGAAGAGCTAAGCCTAAGTCTGGAGGAAGTCTCCCGTGGAATTGGTTCAAAGGCAGAGAAAAAATAGAAAGAGAAGAGAGATTGTATATAGAAGGAGGGATTGTACCGCTCAGATTATTTAAACCAAGTCGCAAGGACTTTAATCTTTTCAACTGCCCAATACTATTGGGAATACCTCCTTGCAAATTATTCCATGTCCCATAAATTTCCTCAATAGAAGAGAGATTTCCAAAAGAAGGTGGTATCTCACCAACTAGATAGTTAATTCTGAAGACAAATACCTGCAGCTTTGATAACGATCCAAGCTCTGCAGGAAGTTTGCCAGTGAGATTGTTTACCTCTAAGCGAAGGTTCAGCAGATTTGAGCACCGTGAAACATTGACAGGGATTTCACCACTAAACGAGTTGTTGTTGAGGAACAACATCTGCAGCCGAAACAAACGACCAAGTTCTTGAGGGATGTTATGGGCGAAGCTGTTGTTTTCCAGGTTTAGTGTCCTGAGAAAACTCAAGTTGCCGATGTGGGGAGATAGTTTGCCCACCAATTGGCAAGAGTCTAGGTCAAGTTGTACAACTCTCTGATGCCGCCTTCCACATACAACTCCTGTCCACTTGCAGAAGTGCAAGGATTCATTCCACGAACTCAGTCTACCAAGGGGATCAGCACTGATTTGATCCTTAAAAGCTAACAGGGCGAGCCTATCAATCTCAATTCCTCCTCCAGGTAATGAGAAGGACAAAGAGAATTGAATAGTTCGCAACAAAATTGGCCACAGTATGCATGAACTCAAGCTTGGTAGCTTCATTTTTTTAATGTGATCTTACAGAATAACTACAGAAGACATGATTAGCAGTGCTGCTCAATCGATACAACTAAATGGGAAAGCCATGGCCGAAATTTCAAAATGAAAGCAGACAATCTTATTTTTCAATTATGACTATCCAAAGTCATGACCAAACATTGTCTTGGAAAAGCTTTGAGTAGTCCATAGTGATGTTAACGTCCTTTTCAGTTTAATTGGCACCAGATTATTTCAAGATCCTGTGAAAATGAAGGGATAGAAACACAAGAAGTTGGATTCATTGTACTCAATGTGCATTCCAATTTCCACGAGATATTAAATTTTCATTAACCTTTAAAGTCGATGGTTGACAGAATTTTCTTCTGTCTCAACCATACAACCTTTAAAGTCGATGCAAATGCATTATTTCTAATCCTCATCCGTCAAGATGATGACAGGACTAAAGGGTAAAGAGACTTTGTTCTTCACCTTATTACAAAAGAAACTAAATCAGGTAGTTAATATCCTGTTCACACGGACTCAAGCAACTGTGGATTGTGACTCAATCTCACTGTTTGCCTTGTTTGAATGCTTCTTGACCGTCCCATATTTTATGCATGTGGTGTGGTTGCCTTGGCGCCGTTCGATTTGCCACCTCCCTTCTCTGTTGCAGTAGCTCAAATCAACCCATCCACTTGCTTTGTTTCTTTCTTTTCTTTTTTAATTGCTGCAGGGTGGTGATACTACTCCTCTGCCCTCTTCCTCCCACTAATGTCTCTCACAATGCCATTATTATTATTTATTTACATTTCTGCCATTCAGTGCTCTTTTGCAGGTCCCTTCATGCCCTCCTTTTTATTTGGCTTTTGTGCTTTCTTTCATCAATGGCGTAATTTTTTGGACGGGCTATTAAATGCATTGCAATAATTTGCTGCACCCTTTTATTTAAATAATATATTATTCCCTTTTGTACTTTATCTTATACAATTTATCTGTGTTTTCATTTAAAAAAAGCCAAAACAAAACATCATGAGCTTTACCCACCAGCTTCGACAATCTTCTCCTCCAATCCCTAACGAAAAAATTATAAAATTTTAAAATAATTTTGTTTTATTTATTTACAACTAATCACATATAATTTCAAAAAATTAATCTTTTAATCAGCATTAATTTTTTTTTTACAAAATTTTGATTATTAATTATAACTTTATTTTTTAAAATATAAGATTTTGAAAAATAAGTTTTCAAAATTTTTTAATTATTGATTAATATTTTAGTTAAAATTATTGTAATTTTTTATTTTAAAATCAATCCATGAAGAAGAAAGATTTTTTTTTTAAACAGAAAATTTATAAAAAATATTAGAAAATTTAATTAAATAAAATTTAATTATTGATTAGTACATACTAAGTCGGTTAGGGACTCTATTTGTCGTTCTTTCTTGGGCTTAAAGCTAGCTTAGATGCTTATAGAGCTTGATATGAAATGTGCCTTCCTGGGCTAAAGTTTTTGCAGCTTAGCCCATATGCTGAATGAAATAAAATTATGGCCCATAAAAATATGAGTTGGGCATTTGAGAATGGAAATCTTACAGCAGATGCCATCCCCACCAACATCACTATCCAAACGTGAGATGGCTCAAATAGATCGCTAGCTCTTTGCAAATTATTCAGTGCTCCATAAATTTCCTCGATAAACAAATGATTTTCATAAAAAATAAATAATTCAATTTATTTTTATCTAATAAAATGAGTTTTTAATTTATTTTTATATTTTTAATGGTATTAATTATATATCTTAATAATGTTTAAATTTTCAATTTGTTATTTTGATCAATTTTTTTATTATAAATAAATTTTTTGACCGAAATGCTTTTAAATAAAATACAAAAAAAAAAACACTTAAAATAACATGACTTATATCTTTTATTTTTAAATTTTTATAATTTTTTTATATTTCAATTATAAGTAATTTGATAAAAAAAATATGTGTTTATGGTAGAAAAAATTGATCGAAAAAATGAATCGAATGCTTGGTAAAACAAAATGTGTTTATAGTTTGAAAAATTGATAACAAAAATATATTAGATACTTAAACATTATTTAAAGATAAAATAGATACAATTAGAACTATAGAAACAAATTATAAATTTGAATTATTAGATAAAGACATATTTAGCTATTTATCTTTTGATGAGAATGTAAATACATAGATTGTTGATTTAGAAAAACAAGTACCAACAGCTTTGCTCTTGATTCAAATTTTGTAGGAAACGCGCCTTTCAAATTGCTTGATTTGTATGTATTTTACACGACAAACTGTTGTTAAAGTTTTGGTCTATTCCAACGGTGGAGAGATAAGCTAAAACCATTTTGCAAGAGGGTAGGTCCAAGCGATCGGAACTTTATTATTGAAGATGGTGCTGCGATTTTGATATAATTATTAATATATGGAAAATGGACGAAAAGAATTTTAAGATAGATTTTTATCTGTTAATTATTATTATTTATATTATACTTCGAATTTTTCTTGGAAAAATAAAAATAAAATTAAAGTCACCAGAAACCATTGGAAGTTTTGAGGGCAAGATCGATCGATGATGGCAAGTCGTAGGCAGTTGATCAATTGTTACAAAAAAAAAATGAAGGGATGACCTCTTCGATTCTTGAAGACATTTTCTACCGTGCAAAGTCTGAAAGGAATCAACATGACAAAACACCAATTTTCATAATTTCTCACTTCCATTAAAAGAGAAACAGTCAAAGGCATTTAATTAAAGTTTACGAGAGGATGGGCAGAATTTTGTTTTGGCTCATAAATACAATATCGCATGCTCCAACTAAGTCAATGCAAATGGATAAATAAATATATCTTCATACATTTTGATCATTACAGGACTAAAGCTTGCAACTAAATTATTCTTTTTTCCTCCTTTACTTTCAAAGTGGATATTTCAACTTTATCAGGCTGAATTGAACTGTATTTTGTTGACCAGCGTAAAGGGGAAAAAGATGGTGTATTTTCTTATAAGGCTTGATGCTATAAATCCTAGATGCCTATAGAGCTGGACTCTGGAATGATGGGCCAAAAGTTTTATACTCAATATAACAGCATTATCTAGCCCATTAAAAATGGGAGTCGAGTATATTCGGTCTAATCTAGGTAAATTTTCCATCTTCTCCGCCTAATTGAATTTTTCCTTTAGATTTGTTTTCACAAGGCCCAACTTTTGTAGTCGAAACAAGCGGCCTAGCTCTTGAGGAAAATCAAGAGTTGGATGTCAAGGCCTATCTCTGTCAGGTCCACGACCACTCACAAAAGTGCAAGGATTAGTTGTAGAATACATGTATGTATATTCCTTATAAATCACTTCAATTTTACAGTATTTTTTTTTATGAACTACGCAAATAAACCCATACTTTTAAAATTATTTGATAGAAAAAAAAAGATGTGAAAAATATATATTACATGTAGAATAACAATTTTAATTGAGATATTATTTCAAGATAGAGAAAAAAAAAAGAAAGAAAGAAAGAAAAAGCATCTGTCTGAGCGAGAGATATGAGCCGCAGAGACTACACTGCATTTTTTTTGGACTAATCAAGTATGATTAGAGAAAGAAAAAAGACAGTAATATTTATAGTGGTACATATGTAATGTTAATTAAAACCTAAAAATGTTTTTTAAGAAAAAAAATAGCATTTTTGTTTTCATTCCTACATGTTCATTCTTTCTCAAACTTGCCTTTCACGCTATAATAAAAACTCCATAAAAGTTTATTTTGCACTCCATATTCATATTTTATTGTTATTTTTTATTTGCATTTCTATTCTCATGTTATTTCAGTTTACCAAACAAATCAGCATAGAAAAACGAAGTATATAAACCTTTTTCAGGTGCTCTATTCCTAGTTATCAAAATACCAAAAGTAATTTAGAAGCGTCAGACTGTTGGATTGCATCCATTCAAAGAACGTACAGACCAAAATTTTAAGCATTGAAGATAAAAGCTTCTCTGCCATATATTAATAACAATCAAACATAGCTTGAATAAAATACAAGAAGGGGATTTCGAGCAATCATTTTATACGATCCTACTGATCAAAATTCAGACTGAAGCCGTCCCCAAAAATTATTGAGCAAAATTCACCTGGTGAAGTGATGAAAATGACTAATTTTAATGGAAGAACCTCTCCATCCGGTCATAAAATCTCTCTACCTTAATTCTAATTAACTAAAAAGTAATTAATTAAGCTGTTGTCACTGCAGATTGTCATGGATCGATGGTAAATCCTTTTTCATTAAAGCTCAATCGTAATGCATCTTTTGTTACGTTAAGTTTTTCTTCTTGTATGCATTCTTAGTTCTTACCCAACTTTGGTTTCAACATACATGAAAGGTTTCTCTATCTTGATGGTTTTGTATTTGCAAGTTTTTAGGTCGTTTGCATCTTGTACTTTAACTGGATTTATATCATTTTAGCAGATTGTCTCACCTACCATATGCATTTCATTGTTGGTGGTCTCAAAATGAAGAACTGCATCTTGATTGTGGAAAAGGCCCTCCATTGAAAGGGCTATCTCGGGTCAAAAGTTCTTATACATATATTGAAGATAAACCACCAAGCAGCAAAAGGGTGCGTTATCTAGAACCCCTTTTTGAAAGCAGCTTAATTACTAAAAAGGTTTCATTACAGGCGTAAGAGATTGTATTTATAATCTTCTAAAGATTTAGCTAGGAGTTTAGTGCTTTTTAACCTTTTTTCCGCTCTCATGATGGTGTTTTTTTTTGAAAAAATAATGCATGATGCTTAGCCACTTCACCACTTGGATCATAGTTTTATTAAACATACAACAAAACACAAATCTTATTAAACCCTTGGTCAAATATAATTCTATCTTCATTCAATTCGCTAAAGTCCTGAAGGCACGAAGTAACTGCTGAAGCATATTTATCTGTAAATAGATACTGCTCATTGGCCATTCAAATTAACTTTTGGAGGGAAAAGTAAACTCAGCTCGCAAGTAACACAATTGAAAGAAACAAAACTCATAAGATAGCATAATTGAACATATATTAATTACAAGTTCAAATATTTCTACTGTCATTACTTATTACATTACAACCTGACATCCGTATCATTTATTGCATGCCATTACATTATTACAAGTTTACACTTTTTCTTTATTATTAACAGCAACCTCAGAAACATAAAAAACTATGTTTGCAGATAATCTATTTGCGTAGAACCCATATTTATGCTATGACGTTCCTGTTTCTAAGAAAGTCCTCGTATCGCAAAACTAATAAAAACTGAGAAAACTGGTAAGGTAAGTAATCAGAAAAAAAAATGTGACCTAACGAAGCGGTAACAAAGGAGCATGACAGAAAGTTTAGATTAAAATAGATTTGACAATGGTAAATCGGATCCACCGAGGAGATAGGGGGTAAAGGCTCTGGTTTTTGCTAGAGTAGGAGAACGGACTTGAAAGTTCTATTCAATTCTATTTAATTGTGAAATCAAATCACGCGGAAAAAAATATGAGCTAAAAAGGTAAAAAGTAAAAACAGAACCGAACACATTGATAAAATATATTTTCACAGGTCAGTTCAAGCGCAACAAACAAGGAATCAAAAGTTCAATTTTCTTTCCATTTTTAGAAACAAGGTACTCTGCCATGCCATGCACAATAAAAAGCGAATTAATTGTTTACCTTTTTCTTTTCGTTCTTTGAGCAACTAAAACTCATGCCTGCTTGCTACTAGCTGTAAAATAATTCATCTCTAGCCAAAGTAATTATGAGTACTATGTAACTATAGGATTATGTACGTGAACTGTGGTTCACGTGGATGATATCATGTCCTTTATTATTTTTGTCTCTGGCTCAGCTGCATTTGTGAGTCTTTGAGATAGCAATTTTGCTTGGGATTTTAAGTACACCCTTGCTTAGAACATACAAAAGCATAGTTTTTTTTGTTCCTTCTCTTGCTTTGAAGCAACCACAACAGAGATTTTCGAGTAGTCTAAGAGATGGCTTCTTGTAGGAAGAGAGGCAAGAATGGATCGTTGTTCGTACCCAAAAAACCCCATTTTATAAGGGTCATTCTTAGTGACACTATGAAGAATCAGAAGATTGTAAGCATTCTATTCCTTCTGGTGTTTCTTCTTGTTCTTTAATCTGTTTTTGCTGAAGCGCTTATCAATGTGCAAATGAAGCTAACTTCAAAACATTCTCCTTCTCCTTTTTTCCTATTGTGTTGTTTACAGGCGATTCCACGAAGCTTTTTGAGTGTCCATGGAAAAAGTTTATCAAAATCAGCACTACTTAAGGTTCCAAGTGGTGAAACATGGAAGGTTGAATTGTTAAAACATAAAGATGGAGTTTCATTTGAAAAGGGTTGGGGAAAGTTCATAGCTTATTACTCTGTAAACTATGGAGATTTCCTATTTTTTGAGTATGAAGGGAATTCCATGTTCAATGTAGTCATCATTGATAACAGTTTTACAGAAGTAGACTATCCATGTAATAGAACTGATGTAGCAGAGAGTACTCAAGAAGAAAACTTTGAGGATCCTGAAGATGATGATGATGATGATGATGACGATGTTGAATTCCTTGGCGAACTTTCTGCAGACTCACAACAAACAAGAAAGGGGACCAAAGGGAAGGAAAAATTAGGTTGTTCAAGAAATTCTGAAGGTAAATAAATCACATTGCATTTTCTCTCCTCTTTCTAGTTTTCTGCTTTTCTCATGCCAGTATCAGTACCATTGACAGTTCATAAACCCGGCAATCCTCGTTTCACGGTCCAGATTATAGACAAACATTTGCCTCCTCGTTCGAACTTGGTAATATTTAAATTGAATCATTGTTGAATAAACGAAGGTTTTTTTTTTTTTTTTTTTAAAAAAAAATTTAGCAAGATTTTCTTATTTGTTTCTCTTTTATTACGTTTGGTTTGAACTCTATGTCCAGAATATACCTGCATGGTTTGCCAAAAAATACTTAGAAGAGAGCAAAGGCAATATCACCCTTAATGTTTTAGGAGCAGGAAGCTGGTCTGTTATGTATCGTACTTATGGCACAGGCAAAGGAGCAAGAACAAGAATTCAAGGATGGAATGATTTTACACGAGATAATTACTTGGCAGTTGATAATATTTGTTCTTTTGATTTGCTCAAGGTTGAGAGCCACAATGTCACCTTTCAAGTTACCATTTCCAGACCTAATCAACATTAAGGAGGAATTGAGAATCTTGTTTGCTGAATTGAGACCAAATCTGTGTCTCTTTTATGTTAAATCTTCTGTTTGAAATTGGGTCTTTGTTTGTTGTCTTTGTGTAGCTTGCAATAATTGTAGCCCAAAGACCTTATTTATGACAAATATCTATTTCTTTGTGTTTTATAATTTCTCTATGTTTTAGTCTTAATGTTTTAGTCATCCAAAAAAACTCTCTAATTTTCTTATCCTTTCAGTTTCACCTCACATGATTTGAAGCATATACAACTTCAGTAATTTCTTTATTAATACAAGGAAAGATATTTTCCATAAAAATAAAAATAAAAATAAAAAATCAACTATTAAATTTATAAAATCCAATGATGGAACAAACTCATTCATTTTTATTTTTATTTTATAATAAACAAACTCATTCAATAAACGATATATATAGTGAGAAATGGTTAAGAAAAGGTATTGTGCGTGAAAAAAATGAAAAAATAAAATAAAATAGAACTCTTGATTCCTTGTTTATTGCACGTGAATTGAACTGTGAAAATATATTCTATCAGAGTATTCTGTCCTGTTTTTATTTTTTAGCTCATATTTTTTTCCTTGTGATTTGATTCCACAATTAACTAGGATTTACTAGAACTTTCAAGTTTGTTCTCGTACTCTTGCAAAAATCAGAGCCTTTAAAACCTCTCTCTCATTGGTGGGCTTTTTATGAAATGAAAAGGATGGCACAAAGCAACTCTTGAAGCATATTCATCGGTAAAGAGATGCTGCTCATTGACCATTCAAATTAACTCTTGAAGGCAAAAGTAAACTCAACTCTGCAAGTAACACAATTTGAAGAAACAAAACTCAGAAGATATTACAAGTTCAAACTTCTAATATTATTTATTACATTACAAGCTCACATCCGTCTTATTTTTATTGCATGCAATTACAATATTACAAGTTCACAATTTTTTTTCATTGACAGCAAGGTCAGAAACATAAATATTCTTGGATTTATATTACAAGTTCTCAGTTCCAACAATATTACTAGGAAAAGTAACACATGCTCCCAAAGAAAAATATTTATAGACGACAATATAAATTTGCAGTCTCATTCCACATTAGATGTTGGCATTTGCACTTGTTTGCTGCTCTGTCACATCTGTCAAGCACCTGCAGTACACACGAATAGAAGACTTGTCAAATTAATAGATTATCTCTAAGTTCACTCGCTGGCTTGACTAGCCTATCCCCAGCAGATAATCCATTTGCAAAGAACACACATATATGCTATGTTCCTATTTGTAATAAAGTTCCTTTATCCAAAGAAATAGTAAAAGTTATACCGAATTTGCTAATTCAATTTGGCAGATAACTAATAGAAACTCAATGGGAATAAATGAGCTAACAAATCCTGAAAAACAAGCATTGCTCTCTCAGTAAATGAGTACAGCCTTACCTTCTGTCATGACAGTATGTTCACGTCATCGATCTGTTCATCTGAGTTCCAAGAAGAATGTCTCTTATCCGATACAATTCAGTTGCAACATTGCCAATTTCCATCCTTTCTCTTGGCAATTCTACAGAACAAGCGACTCCCACCTTGATAATTGAAACCAAACACTCAGAATTTTTTCAGACCCTATATTGTTCCTCGTACGAGAGGCATCAGCAGTAGTTGTTTCCTCGTAAAAGTTTATTAATCAAGCAAAAGCTGTATTTTTCAACATCAAAATCATATATAAATAATAAATTTTCAGTTAAAACACTAAAGCAATTTGAAAAGAAAACAAATACTAAAATCCAAAAATATTAAGAAAAAATCCAAAAAAAAGAGTAAATTGTAATTTTGAGAGCCTAAACGATGGTTTTTGATCAAAATATGTTTATGATTTTTGCTCGTTGACCCGTTTAACATCGAACTATGCTAAAAAACCCTCAGAATTGAGCCAATAGCCTTTTTTCAACTTTTGTTATGCTCAAACTGTTTCATGAATTCACAGACCTGTTAGTCCGCATCACCCCCTTTGAGTTGCCAAATTTAGCTTATAAACAGTGGGGAGAAAATGATTTGAGGGGTTGGAAAAATTCTAGGCTAAGAGAGAGCGAAAATCAATAAAAAGGGTTGAAAAATTGAGAAAAAAACTTTGGGTGTCAGTTGCTGCAATTTCTGGGTAGCTTTTCTTCATGTTTATGTTTTCTGGATTTTAGTTCATCCCTTTTTGGTTTCTTTACTCTATTGTTTTGGTTATATCTGGGTTTAGCTTCAATTCTAACAAGTTTCTTAACCTCATTTTCAGGGTTTGGAGGTTTGATTTTGGATTCGTTGGGTTTTTCTCTTTGGAAATTCTAGGCAACGTGTTCTTGGTTCTTCGTGTTCTTCGTTTGCTGGGTTTACGTTCTTCGTTCCCTAGGTCAATTGAAGAGGTTTTAAGGCTATTTTGAGGAAGATTATTGTTGTCTAGGTGTAGAAAAAGAGAAATCGAGGTTAAAGATTCGAAGAATCGTGAGAAATTAGCACTTTTGGTTGGACGCTTCTTGGTTTTTTTCTGGGTTTTCTAGGGGTGTTCTTCGGTCATTTTTTCAGGTCTGCCCCTGGGTTTGATTCTCCAGCTTTGATTCCATTATTGCTTTAGTTTTACTTCCTTGCTTGGTATTTCGTTCATGTTTTGAATTGTGGATTGATTTAATTGACTCATTTGCTTGGTAGAATCCTGTAGTTCCTAGAAAAGTTGAAGAACTAGAGAGAGAAATTGAAGA